CTCGGCTCTGTCACACCCTCAAAATTTAGTGATTGGCTAGGTTTAAAAATCTGGAGCATCCGAATTACGTATTCCGCCAATCTTTTTCCTCATTGCAAGGCTTCTTGGCATTCTGACTTCTAACGGTATCCTGTCAGAATTTGATAGATTGCGAAGCGTTGCTTGGGCTATTTAACATCTCGCTTTCCAAAGTTATAGCTTGTACCAGTAAAATTTTATTGCCTTAACTAAAAGATTTCTTGCAGTTACTTTTTCGCGTAATATTTCTAAAGGTTTACAAGCCTCTTCCTGGCCTATTGTTCATGTATGAGAAGGACGCTAACTCCTCTACATGTAAGAACAGACCTATGTCTCCATACTTGTTCTTTGCATTCAACAATCAAACACTAAATTAATAAATTAAATTACATTGAAATTACAAGTAGGCTTCTTGGCAGTGGAACGGTTACAATGTTCCCAATAAGTATAGCTGGTATGGCGACCGAAATTTGCATCCAGCATCTGTCGAATTCAAGTCCAGAACGTGACCGCTACGCTACATTTCTCGGAAAGTGAACATTTGCATATATTTATACACAACACAGTATCTTAATAAGATAAAATACTGGGCCACCGAACATAACATTCCAGAGGTAAAGTTTTAGGCTTGTATTCGGCACGTCGGCCTGGAAACCGGAAATCACAACAAATTTTTCTTGGTTTTGTCAGTGCCTTCAGGCAAATTCTGGAATAGTACCTAGATCAGGCTATGGTCGCATTCATATGAAATCCTTTACACTTCAACACTCAACAGTCATTCCAAAATCCGACGCTATGCGACCTCTACGCTGAGATCACCGTTACAAAACCTAAGAACAAAAAGTAACGGTCTGCGTGTTTTGCATGTTCGGCTGACGCTCTGTGCCTCGTTGCTGAAACTGTAGTTAAATACCCACCCACCATCTCGCCGTCACCAGGAGTCAGATATTCAGTACATAAGCATAAAGAGTCAAAATAGGTTTTGTGTAATACTCGTACACTTCCTATAACGAATTACAGAAGACACACAGTAAATGTAACAAACACATAAGGTTTCCCAGTGCCACCAGTCCGTATGAACGACACAAATAGCCATATGAAATTGAAACAATTAAGATACGAATACATAATAGCAGGGGGCACGGGATACCATAGTTGGTTGAGGCACTATGCTACAGGACGGAAGCTCGTGGGTTCGATTCCCGAAGAGGTCACTGGATTTTTCAGTTGACGTAATCCTTCCAGCTGCACTATGGCCTTGGGGTCGAATCAGCCTCTTAACAGAAATGAGTACCAGGAATCTTTCTGGGGGTTATAGGGCTGTCGGCGCGTAAGGCTGATAACCTCACCGCCATCTGTGAGTCAATTGTCTAGAAAATGTGGGAGCCTCAACTTCTAACAACCCTATGGGCCTCATGGCCTGTTAAATGAATAGCTTTATCTTTCTTTTATACATAACGGCATTCAGAGTGGGAACCGGGTTAGCTCAGTCGTTACAGCGACGAACTGGACGGTCGGGGTTATTTTCCCGACAGGGCAAGAAACGTTTTGCAAACCAACATTGTGACCCACCCAGACTCCTATCCAATGGATACCGGCGGCTCATTCTCTTTTAGTAAAGCAGGCTGGGTGTGAAGCTGACCACTCCCATGTTTTGCCCAGGTAAAGATTGGCGGAGCTATACATCAACTGCCTCCCACATCTTCGTCGCCTGGTGCTTAATTAATTAAGGCTAGGGAGAAATTACCTTGTACTCTTCATGATATTCAAAACATTTTACAGAAGAGAGGTTAGTACAGTCAGCTTTGACAGATAATGGAAGTAAGGGAACAGTATATCCTAATTAACTAACCCCATGAAAAAGGCCGCGCTATAGCTCAAGCGGTTAGTCGCTGGCTTCCCACCGCGGCGGCCCGGGTTCGATCCCGGGTCTGGTCAAGTGGGATTTGTGGTGGACAAAGTGGCGCTGGGGAAGTTTTCTCCGAGTACTTCGGTTTCCCCTGCCAATCTTCATTCCACAAATTGCTCCACAATCACCCTCACCTATCATCTGGGGCTGGTACAATAGGCCAGAAGTGGCCTCAGTACAAGGAACTTAGTCCCACCCCACTAGCAATAAAAAAAACCACGAAACTGAGGCCTTCTTGATAATCCAACTTTTCCTCAAGAGTACTATTTTCTGGTGTATAACGCCGTGTAGTCCAGTGAAATTCAACAGACATTTCGGAGGAACATATCGTCTGTGCTTGCTGCCTGCTCAGTGCTGTTTTCTTAAACCAATCTTAAAACCTGAAATGGAGGATACGTCCCTCCGAAACTTCGCTTAACTGCCACCGGGCTACACGACGCTATGTCCCAGAAGTTGGAATTCTTCACAACAGCCTCTGTGGAGCCTGTGACAGTTCGTCACACAAGAAAATCCCGTTTTTTGGTGGAATTCTAAGCTCTCCTCTTTCATCGACCAGATGAATCTAGTTCAGACCACCACATACTGTTTCTCTAAGATTCGTTTTAATGTTATCCTCCCATCTACGTGTAAAAATTCCCATTTGTCTCCCACCAAACACCTTGTAAGAACTCCTTTACGCTCCCGTACATGCTACATGCCCTGTCCACCTCATCCTCCTTGAATTGATCATTCTAATATATCTTTTATTGGTTATTTGACGACGCTTTCAGTGTCGAGATTAGGAATTCTGAGTATATTTCGCGAGGACTCAAGTAATGAAGCTCTCCATTATGCAGTTTTCTCCAGCCGCTTGTTACTACACACCCTTCACTAACTTCATAGGGCTGAGCCATTCTTGAGAAGCTGCCAATTGTGCAGCTACTGAAGAACTTCGCAGCATTTTATGGAGCCAGAAAGTTCATTAGCGTGTTCACAACAGCAATCGACTGGTCCCTATCCTGATCCAGATCAATCCAGTCCATACCACCCCATTCTACGCCTCTAAGATCCATTTTAATATTATCCGCCCACCTACGTCTTTGTCTTCTTAGTGGTCTCTTTTCCTTCTGGCTTTGCCACCAATATCCTATATGCATTCATCTTCTACCACATTCGTGCTACATGCCCTGCCAATCTCATCCTCCTTGACTTGATCATTCTAATTATACTTGGCGAAGAGTACAAGTTATGAAGCTCCTCATTATGCAGTTTTCTTCAAAATGTCATTTCGTCTCTCTTCGGTTCAAATATTCTCCTCAGCACCCTGTTCTCAAACACCGTCAATGTTCCTCCCTTAATGTCAGAGACCAAGTTTCACACCAATACAGAACCACAGGCAAATTTATAATTTTGTATATTCTAATTTTTACGTTTTAAGGCAGCAGACAAGAAGACAAAACGCTCTGGACTGAATGGTAGCAAGCATTACCCGAGTTCAATCTCCTCTTAATTTCCTCCTGAATCAGATTTTGATTTGTTATAGTCGTTCTCAAATATCTGAACTGTGCCACATTTTCAAAACATCTGTTAGCTATGTTTGTCATGATTTTTTCCTGCATTATGGCGACGAGACAGCAAGATATACTTAGTTTTCTCTACGTTTGCTTCTAGAACAACTTCGTAACTAGTGCTTAGTAGAACGCCTATTTTTCTGTTTGTGGTACTAGTATTTCTGTCTGTTAAATACATTCACACCACCATAAAGCAGCTGCTATGTCCCATTCAATTTCAATAGTACCTCATGTTTTCGATCTTCGTAAATGCCTATTCTAAAGCAAAGACGAAAAGCAATGGGGATAAAGCATCTCCTTGTTTTAGACCACTTTGAATAGAAAACTAGCAAACTAGTGACTAGTTACTGTTGAGCTGTCAGACCCGCCTTCTGGAACCTACATCTGTTGAACAATGGCCCGTATTTGCTGAAACATCACTCTGTGAAACGTCTGTTGTGTGGACTCTTGAGTGCCAGTTTTCTTTTTCCGCGCCAATGGTCGAGCCCTCTAAGCACTAGCTGTCTGAGGAAAGTCGTTCTGCCATTAAGATGTCGTTATTGGCGCCATTCCTTGCGCCACTGTGTTGGTATGAGGAGGCATTGGGCCAGCCAGCAACTTGACATACAATGTAGACCAGAAACGTTCAGTTTTGTAAACTGTTTGTCTAGAGAAATGATACTGAACAGGTTAACACTCTGAACTACGAAATTTGTCTGCTTCTTTCTATATATGGAATCGGTACAGCTCAATCTGAATCGCGCTGGATTCGGCAGCCGAGGAATAGTGGTTCGATTCCTGGTAGGCCAAGAGATTCTTATCTTCTCCATAGCGTTCACGCCGGTTCTAGGGTCCACCCAACCTCCCATCCAGTGGATACCTATTTTTCCTCGGAAAGAGAGCGACCGGAGCGTAAAGCTGACCACTCACTTCCATCTGGTGCCCAGGTTAAGAATGCGTAGAGATATACTCGTACCTCTACTCCCAGTATTTATTCAAGGCATGATAATTAAGTGCAGGGACAAATTTACCTTTACCTTCAACTTACCCTCTAAGCCGGGGATGCAAGTGCGCAAGACATGGTGTCTTCTGAGTAGCAATTAGATTGA